GGGGGGTTACAATTAAATACCATAAAGTTGACAAAAAAACTGCCGGTCATAACCTGAGCTATTAGAGCAACTGAGATTTTTGAAAATTGAGTACATACTGGTCACCACAATAAAGTGGAAAATGCAGACAAGAAAGACAATCTTGGTGAAACCACTGACGGCATTGTTGACATTGTAGCATTTGCATGTACCAATCTCCAGGTTTCCCACAGTAACAATACTGTTGAGAATCATTCACTCTGTGTGAATCATCCCAAACCAAGGACTGAAGCTGTGAAAAGTAAAGAGTAGAAAAATTAAGAAATAAAATAGGGAGAAAGGGAACAATTAACAATAACTACTCATTTGTTGAAAATTCTTAGTTTGTACTTACTGCATAAGAGAAGGAACGAACAGGCTTCCTGATTGGAGCTACTGCAAACTCTGTGGGTATAGTTGGTGCAGTTGCTAGCATAAGAGATGTGCCATGGGATTCAGACCCTAAAGTGGTAGCATTATTTATAACTGTAAGCTGTGTGTCCAATGGGGTTGATGACGTCTGCTCAGTGCTAGACTGAGCAGATGCTAGGCTAAGACGAGCACGCTTTTTCTTTAAACTTTTGTTTCCACATCGTATACATAGCCATTTGGCAGCTGACACACCATCAGGGAGACTCAACTGAAAAAACAATGGAAAACATTAAGTGGCATAGAACAACCAAAAGCATGATAAGTGTTTATTAAAAATATTTAAAACAGCTACCTCTAAACATGACCTGTGATAACCACGGCCACACTTTGGGCATCGAGCAACATTTTGATCTATTTTTTTACATATAACACACAGAATTTCTTCGGGGTCATCTTTCACCCGCTGCAGCTCATTTAAATGGGCCCAGCATTCTTTGTTATCTAAAAAGCGCAACAAGCACTTTTCAGTGGGTCTATCAATCTGGAGAATTATTTCAAGAGATTATCAATTTGCAGCAAAATTGTTAATATACAACCAAAATTATTCAAATAACACCCAATATTACCTGGACAATGGTGCCCATGAAAAATTGACCAGTATGATTCCGGTCAACAAGAACATCTTCTCCTTCAACAAACATGGATGTGGTGCTATCTGGAGCCGCTGGGGCTTCCTCAGTGACTGACTGTCAGAACAAAAACCTCTTGATTATTTTATAACTCCAACAACAGAAATATTTAAGTTACACAACATATTAACAAAAGATATAATGTTAAGAAAAAAAGACTTCTTCTGATATCCTAGCATTTAACGGTCACAACAATCTGAACAGTTTTAGACTGCACTGTTCAAGAATTTGGTTTAGTTACAAGTACCTTCAGACAACCAAACAACAAAAAACTTTGATCTGATGGTCATTACCTCTTTTAAGGGCTCCTGTATATCTACAAAGTGGTCAAGCACAGTCTTTGACAGCCGTTCAAGAAGTACATAACAACACTGAGTAGTTCTGGGCATGTTCATACAGACGGCTATGTTGATGTGGTCCTACGGTAGCCTATGTCATTCAAATTGCTATATTGTATTTCTGCATCTGAAAATGAATTAGTAACATCTCTCTATCTAGATATGGCCATTTGGTGTAGAAAATTTTAATGAAATTCTTATGACATCACATTAAAAATGAATTAATTTTTATTGACTAATTTTCAAATGTAACAGATAACTCATTCAACAAATAAAAAATAATTAAAAGTTCTGTGAAAATATGCAATTTTGTGTCTAAAGCAAATGAAATATCTCAAAGGGCAGAATTATTGTTTTAAAAGATAAAAATGTGAATGTGATGCTCAACACAAGAAGTGCATAGAATTCTAATGGATCTATCCCCTCCACAGTATGTAGAAAACATTGGCAAACAAAGCGGAAATAAAATAAGCATATTCATTTTCAACAAAGCAAACAGAAAAAATAATGCCAAAAAATCAAAGGACTTATGATGAGATATGGCCTGGTGATAGTTTCAGATTTTGTCGTTTTTCAAAACAAATACATTTTCCCACTTGAGCTACTTCAAAGTGACAAATCCCAGACATGCAGACATACAAGTAACAATTTGAATGATTCCAAAACACAACCATCAGTGTGCATGCAATCCAAGTATGAATCAATGAAAATTGAATGACATGGAATGAGTAATGTTATGGTTGATATCAGGTGATTCTTTCTGGGTTTCTACTCCTAGGGACTTGGTACTGGAAGGCATAGGCTAAATTGTTTGAGCCCCCTAAGCAAAGAGGAAATTCTGACTTGTTTGAAGGTATCCTTCACTTTTAGTGTATGCTTGTAAGAATCTCCTTGAGTATACTTTAAAAGTCTAAAGTTGCCTATTGCTAATTGCTTTTAGTAAGACCTGAGCTCACCTTTAAATAAAAGACGTTTCTTGTGTCAGCCATTGCAGGCTGCTTCAAACAACTGAGGTGCACATGCACCTACAGCATTTTCCAGGTATCTATCCATATAGCCCCGAATACATTGCAAGCAGGTGACAAATCCGATCGCAGCTGAAATAGATACGAGACCATGACAACAAATTTTAAATGTTAAAGATACATCATGCTCAGAAATGTCCCTAACCGGAAAGACTAGTCACCCCTATGATCACATGAAAGGAAACAATTTTTGGGAGATGAACATATGTACACAGCAACAAAAATGGGTCCACAAGTATGCAACAATTACTCCACCAAACAAAACCAATACCAAGAAAGCCACAAATTCACAGTTCACATTGACCAATTTAAAATGCAACTGAAATCACATAAAGCAGCTCATTGAGGAAGAATTACAACAAATATTAAAGCCAGAACCTCAGTTCAAAGGGTTGCTGAGTACCAACAACTTTTCAAAGGTAATTATATCGTTTTAAGTACACAATAAGTAGGAAGTTGGAATGAACGCATGAAAACTAGTTGAGATCTCTCCATTAAAATTTCAGTTTGGGAGAGGTGAAAACTCTAGGGTGAGGGGTCCTTGGCGCTAACCTCTCTGCGGTTATTGTGAATGTTTACCAAATTTGGATAGAAAAGTTACGGAGCTTTTTTTACCTGCAAGCCCACTTCAGGCAACCTCAATGCGGGCCGAAGAATCCTCTTCTCTTTAATGCTGATGATCATTCTACCATAAAACAGCCTTCTTTACCTTTCTTGACATAATATCGAAGAAAGGGGGTTGGATCCGCCGGGAGATCGAAACAAGAAGGGAGGGCTTGGACGGATTCACAAGGAAAAAACTACGAGAAAGGGGTCTCAAACCACGTAAAACTAATGAAGTTAAAAGAAAATGGGAAACAAGAAGTTATCTAAATGTCCATTTGAATGAACCACAGTCCAGTAGTTAATTGGCAGCTCAAATGTAATTCTGGAGGTGAACGATCGCACCCGATCGCACTACAACTAACAACCAACCGCACACACACACAAACACACACACAACAGTCATACACATACACACACATGCGCACGCATGCACAACACCTCAGCGAAAATCGTAAAATATAAAGAAAAAATTAACGACATTACCCCCACAATTGAGAAGATGAAATCAGTATACTGTCGACCCTGTATTTCTACAGTAGGTAGAATTGTTAAACTAAACTACCCTTCTCCTACTGTTCAATATATTTAAATTCCAAATCATGAATTCAATGACATTTGAAATATGGTAGTGGTAGCATTTGGTAAGCAGTGAGAGAGCACCGCGAAGATTTAAAAGTAATTTATTGTAGCCACCTTTTTTTTGGTGGACTTTAATGGTTCTCGCGGATGAATTTACTCAAAACTGTAGAAACTACAAGAACAACATGGTTTTGCCCATACTGGAACGTTGTAGTTGTAGTTTTCTAAAAATTCAAATCAGAAATAACTTAATCATTCGTAAATTCTTCATTATAGCCTCGTAGCAGAGTTCCAGGTGGTATCGATGTTGTGTTTATGCCCCCCCCCCTCCCCCCAATGTGAATATATTTTTGCTTTCAAGTGCGGTAGGCGGGAGGCAGCCGAATTGTGCTGTAATGTTTTTATTTGTATTTAGTTAGTTTTAGAAAAATTTCACTGGTTGTAGGACTTATCCATTTAATGCAACATGTCAGAGGAAACTGAAATTCAAGATCCTGCTGTTAAGAAAGCGCGACTAGTGGATGAAGCTGGTCAAAGTGAAGATGTAAGTGAAGGAATAATACTTTTGTTTATCACACGTCTTTTTCAAAGTCAATTTATATTCCTTAATATAATTAAATTTGTCATTTATCTTTCAGGAAACAAACTTTGAATTTGAAACTCTGCTTCGTCTCAAACCAAAGTCATCTGTTGTCAAGGATTGCCCAGAGTCTCACATAGAAACAAATCCTGAAACTGTGCTTTTATTCGAACCTAATCCATCTACTGTCATGGATATGCCAGAGTCTCTCATGGAAATTAACCCCGAACTTGCGCCTCTTAATAAGGAACCAAACTCATCAGTTGTTGATTCCCAAGTGTCTCATGTGGAGACGAATCCTACAACTGCGCTCCTTAATGAACCAACTTCTACAGCTGTCGTGGATACCTCAGTATCTGGAGTGTCTCACGTGGGAACAAATCCCGAAACTGTACTTTTAATTGAACCAAATTTGGCTGCTGTCACAAATATCTCAGTGCCTCACATTGAAATTCCCACTTCAGCACTTCTCACCACAGGTATGCGTAAACTTCATTGTATTCTGCCTGCAGACTGGATTTGCTCTGCTGACTCAACAGGCTTCTCCATTTGCTTTTTAAATCTAGGAGCCATTAAGATTATTCAAAGACAAATTTTTGTTTCATTTTCGGGTGAAGCAAAAGCATATGTTCACTGCAGTCCATGCCCCATGCTAGATGAAATCTTTAGTTTTGTACACAACCCTGTAAAGTTTTGCAGAGAATCCATAGATGAATTTTGTAAGAGTATTATGTCATTGATAGAAATTGTTTTACAGCATAGGGTGTGTATTGGAGTGAACAGTAAAAAATATCGGGACAAGTGGCCAACCATACCAAAGTCGTACATTGATTTAAATCCGTATTTAGAAACAAGTTATGAGAAAACTCTCAGATCTTCTAAATGTTCAAAACTCATAACCAATGAGAGTGAGGAACCTCGGTGTGACTCCTGTTCAAAACTTAAGAAGTATGTTAAAAAACATGTAGTACCTGTAGAGACTCCATCCCTGCAATAATTTTGTTTGGCAGAGCTACTAAAGTAATTATGATATGTATATACATGTCAAAATTCAATGCAAGTTTATTGTCAGGCGCCTATAAGGTAGGCAGTAATCTTTACATAATGTCATTTCAAACTTCAATTATACGCTCACCACAATATGCTAATAATATCATCATAAAATTTAATTACATTTTATTTACACTGAGAGTTAGCTTGGTAAGAAAGATGAATGGAGCACTACAAGCTACTTTTGTGATCAGGTTGATATGCAATGAAAATATTTTGATATCAAGAAGTTAAGAAAAACTAGTTTGCAATGCTCCGTGCTGTCATTTGATACGCAATACCCAGTGTCTTAAATATATAATTCTTTGCTTAACAGGCTATCTGTAAAATTACCGCTTGCATGAAGCTTATTGTCTGATATTTATGGTAATGTCAATGTATTGTCTTAATAATACAGCCTTAACTGAACAAAATGGAAGTTCTTTGATATAAGAAAGTTCAAGTCCAAAGTCTATGAAATTGAATATCCTGACCCTAAGAATACGTTACTTTGTTAAAAGAACATTGGATGAACAGTCACTGATACATTCATAATATGATATTATTGAAAATCACAGATAGAGGAAGCATTTTTGGGATTCTAATCCTGGACCTGAGAGCAAAATACTGATACAAAGTAAATAGCTGTAGCCGCAGATGGTAAATTTCTTTGTTTCAATCATTATTTTCTTTATCATTATAGAAGCCCATACTCAATGGGCTTAAGTTGGTCATAAACTTCTACTTTCTGTCCTCTCAGCATGGACTCGATTTAGATGTCGTTTCAGATCAGCATTTCGAGTAAAGCTCTGATTACAAAAGTTACAATGGTACGGCTTTACCCCACTATGGGTACTGATATGAGTTTTTAAATGAGTCTTTTGAGTGAAGCTAAGTCCACAAGTTTCACACTGAAATGGCTTTTCTCCTAGATGAATTCTACTATGTTGTTGCAAGTTACTTTTCTTCAAAAATCTCTGCCCACAATCCACACATACTAATGGCTTATCGCCAGAGTGAATCTTAAGATGTTTACTGAAATTATCACTTGCTGAGAAGCTCTTGGTGCACACTGTGCAAAAGTATGGTCTTTCACCAGTGTGTATGCGAGTATGTTTGTGCAAATCTCCAGCAGAAATAAATGATTTGCCACAAAGCTTACACAGAAAAGCTTTACCTTCCTGATGTGATCTTTGGTGTTTGCATAAATCACTTTTTAATACATATATCTTTTCACATTCAGAACACTGATAACGCTCTTCTGTATGTACTTTTTGGTGCTTCATAAGGTCACTGAGCCAAGTGTAGGATTTATCACATTTATCACACTTATGTTTAGTCTTACAGTCAGTCAATGCATTCACATTTGACTCAGAATTACCTACTGCAGTGATTTGTAGAAAATCATCACTTGAGGACAAGAGTGATTGATCGTTGTTGTGGCTCTCAGAGAAAGGTGAAACAGGCACCACTTGAGTGGTGTTGTCTGTACTACAATTTAAGTCATTTGGAACAGCACTTCTCCACAGCTCACTTACAATTGAGTCTATTTCTTCGACTGCTGCCTTCACATCTTGTGATAGTGTGGGAGACAGTGGTGATGGTGGAAGTGCTGTTGTATTTGTGCTGGATTCTAACTCATTCAAGCTTGTTAGGGTTTGCGAGCGTGATTCCCAATCATTTTCCCCATCCCACACGTCAGGCCAAGGATGCTGCATATGCTGAGGTGCCCACAGGGACATCTCTATGGAGCTGCACCAGTCATTCATTTTCTTCGTATTGTCTTAATTTCCAACATACAAGCGTAGGCATCCAGGGAGATTTCTATAGAAGAAAATCGTGAGTTTCCGTACGCCTCACTTCACCGTCTGTAAACAAGTTTGAAGTTTGAGAGATATGACAAGGAGCATCCTTTTCGATGTGCGTCGAGGTTAGGTTGTTAAAAATTATTTGTTACCAAAACTCAAATTTGATAAAAACAAAATCAAATTATTAACTTGCCCTTAAAAATGGAATTAAAAATAATCGGGCACCGGAAGGAAACAAACTAATGCAACACCTTTGAATAAATAAAAACGAAAACTAAACCCTCCGGTGCCCGTATTGTCAAGTAGCTTTCTGCTGCTGCGTCTTCTGCTAGTTGTATCACGTGACACCCCCTCCCACCTGTTTGTCGATCAGAAAGGCGCAGGCGCGATGTTTCAAATAGGTTCGCCAATAGACCTGAAACCTGGGCGTAAGATTATCGTTGCTCATAAGCGACCCCGCAGCAAGGTGCTCGTCTAAAAAGGAATGTTTTGTTTATACTGTACCGCATGCAGGCTGGCTCACCACAGCGCCTTATGGCCCCGTGTGAGTATGCAACCCGTTCACACGCCTGCATAGGTACAGCATAAGCAAAACAAAGGAAGGGGTCTGTGGCGTGGCCCACCCTGTATGAATAATGCGCTAAAAGGTAACACATTTTTAACGCATGTAATGTGGATTACATTACATACTTGGCCCAAAGATCAAGAATGAAAGTAAACACTGAACCCCTACCCCATTCACTCCATTCATTTGACTGTTTCGGCGGCGGATCTGAAGGGGGGGTCCCGCCCGCGGGGGGTCAAGTCTTTCTCCGTGACGTCACCTCCATGCACACGCAGGTTGCCGCAGCCGCCGGCAGGTCTGGTCCTCTCCACTGCAATCGAGAGCGTGGCCGCCCGTGACGGGGCGGGCGAGCGCGGCGGCCGGCGGCGGCCCCGGGGCGCGCAGGTCTGAACCTGCTCGCCGCGGCGGGCCCGCGCGGGCCGGCCGCGTCGCTCCCAACGTGGCTCTTTCAAACCGCCATTCCTCCCCGACTGTGACCTCACCCGCCTCCAACTAACCCGCCGCGCCGGGGCTCGAGGGCTGTGGGGCTGCGCTGGGCGTGACTCGTACTGCCCGGTCCTGTCAGTGGTGTAGTCGGGTTCAGTTCCGCTCCATCCACGGCTCGCCGCAGTGCCGCTAGTAGTGCAGCCGCCGACGTGCAACGTGCAGCTGCAGCTCCCTGGCCGGACCATACGCCTCCTCCTGCCCCGTGACAGCACGACGAAGGACATCCCCAGGACGCGCCTCCAGGACTCAATCAGCTGAGCAGTTTGTCGCCAGCTGTCACTACGAATGCCTGCCGCCCCGCGACGACCCAGAGCGATCGGTACCGCCCCCTACCTCCTGCCTAACCAGCCCAACCATGCAGCCGCCTACCCGCGAGACTCCAGGACCATCGGGTAAGTTCCAGTCCAGGGAGCAGACAGCTGCTCACTCATTATTAAACAAATGAATTTCGCTCGTTTGTGTGTGTCAACTTTACAAAGGCGGTGTAGTATAGGAAACTTCCTTCACTAGACCACCAGACACCGGTTCCTAGAAAAGGGTATTTCGCTGCAAGATCATCGGAAACCAAAGAAGAACAGCATACTGCCCGATCTGTTTTACTCCAGAACGCTGATGACGTCGGTGTGTCAGTCAGCCAATGGAGGCGAATATGGAAACAGATCGAGCAGTCATGCTTTTCTTCTTTTAGGGTCCCGCTCCCGCGTTCTTGCAGCAGAAAACCGGAATACCCTATACCTGCCAACGACCTTAGCCCGAACCTATTTTCTACAAACCACAACCCTCCTGAAAATATTCCAGTCTGTGGTCGTGATAAAACCAGTGATCGATACCAGGTGGCTGATTAACCCCGCGCACTTCTGTAGTTAGACTGTACCGCACGCAGGAGTGCGGGCGGGGTTGCCTATCGCCCCTGTTCAGGGCGCGTGCGGTACAGTCTAACTACAGAAGGGCGCGGGGTTAATCAGCCACCTTGGTACAACGTGATATAACATTGCAGGGCAAGAGCGCCCCCCGCGAACACCCGTTTTGACTGGACCGCGGCGTCGTCCACCGCGAGCTGGTCAGTCGGTAGGGTAGTGAACGGGGTGAACGAGCTTATCCTATGCATTTGCGCCGTAACGGTGCCTGCGACCTCAACTGCAATATATCCAAACATCCCTCTAGGTGTGGGCACCCCTCCACGCTCCCAAAGACGAAGTGAAGAACAATGTGAAGAGCAAATAGACACAAACGTGCCCAACACTTGAATACAATAATGTATTATTTTGTACAAGTGTTAATATTATGTACATTTTATTAACGTTTTCATGCACGCATTTGGATAAAAAGAAGCCGTTTTTGGTCTGTTGTTCTTCACAATCGCTTCTGCTGAAAAGGTCTATCCCTTGAAAATTACACTTTAAATGATCCTTTCCGTTAGAATACCGTATTATTTTAAGTCCGTACTCCGTACTGTTTCGAACTCGCGTAGAGCGGCCGCTGTGATGTGGTTGTGGCCTTTTCCCTTTTCCCCCGTCGGGGAAGTCCAAATAGCGGATCCAGACCGATCCAGACCGGCCGCCGTAAGCCCGATCCCAACTCGCGCCCTACTCGCGGCAACTCGCCAACTCGGCTACTCGTTTTACACCTATTTTGGAAGTGGGGGACCCCTCAGTCCTTCTCACGCCTTTTGCCTATCTGAGAGCAGTCGTTTTGTCTAGGAATACCCCCCCTTCCTCCCCGATGAGTGCCAGGTTTTTAAAAAGTATTGATCAGGTGTTTTAATGTAAGCAAGTTTTTCCAAAAGCCACGTGGAAGTTTACACATTTATTGCGGCACGACCACTGTGTGGCCACGCTCCGATGTTATCATAATAGGCACAAAAAATGCCGCGCGCTTCAATGTGTAGTGAAAACCCACGCCGTGTAAAAGCTTAACGGAGAAAAGTACCCCAACTCTTGGATCTTAACTCGTCTCGATCCCGCAACTTGCACAAATGTGCGCAACAATCGCCCGTGCGCAGTCGTTGGGTAACTTGACTCGTCTAGAACCCGCAACTTGCACGAATGCGCGCAATCGCCCGTGTGCAGCCGCTGAGTCGGTAGCGCCCGGTGTGATGATGTGGCCCATCATTTCCTGAAAATGATGGCCGTGTCGTGAATCACACGTGTGTCACATGTGGAGATCCCACAGCCGTGGGCGACGAAAACGGGGAAAGGAAAAAGTATGGCCCATGGGGGGATCGAACCCACGACCTTCGCGTTATTAGCACGACGCTCTAACCAACTGAGCTAATGGGCCGGTTGAAGGCGGGGACCCCTGCGTGTAGTGTGGTTCGGTTCGGATCGACCGTGGGGCTCCCGGTGGTGGGGGAACGCGGTCACTGCGACTGCGCGGCGGGCGCCCGCGAGAGGCCAGTGGGGGGAGGGGGGGGGGCAAACGAATGAGATACGCATGGGGCCCTCCTCCGTCTCTCTCCCTCTCGCTCGCTGTGAATGAATACTTGGGAGAGAGAGAGATGGGAGGCTTTGAAAAACGCGGCTAGGCGAATGCAGCTGCTCGCAGCTGTATCCCGTTGAGAGCCAGCTGCGATAGAAATTCTGTATACTTCAGCCAACAGAAGGAGAATAGCGGGTAGAACACGTAAACGTTTACTGATTGATCGCGAGATTCCCGCCATTTGACCATCCCGGTAGTGGGGGTAAAGGCATGGGTTCGATCAATCTATTCTTTTCCCTTCATTGCTGGAGTACAAGAGTGGCTCATGGAAGATATCCAGTTAGCTCAATGGATGAACGGCTGTGCATGGTGTCGAATCCGCTATGTGCCCGTGTCGCGATGCATGATGCGAGTGGACTTACCAACGGGGGCCACGCCATGCATGCATGGAGTTACCGTGCATCATGCTAACTGGATATCCTCATAGGCCCCGTACTTTTGGGACGTTTATACCAGGTGACTGATTAACCCTGCTCACTTCTGTGGGTATGCTGTAGCGTTCGCATGAGTGCGGATTGGCTTGCCTATCGCCCCTGTCCGTCCACGGCGCCTTACGGGCCGAACGAGTAGGCAGCCCGCCCGCACTCGTGCGTGCGGTACAGCATACCTACAGAAGTGAGCGGGGCTAATCAGCCACCGCGTGAGAGGCGTGCGATCGGGCTGGCCCACCGTCGCCTTGGGGCTCCATGATGCGAGTAGGCAACCCGCCAACGTGCCTGCCTGTGGTACGCGGCCTGGGCCTATGGGACACCACCCGTGTGACATGCAGCGCGACTCCGCTTGGATTCTGCAAGGCGAGAACAGCAGCGCGGTCCGCGGCGTTCCCTTGAGCGGAATGCGGAAAGGAGGCCTTATCCTCTGTTAGGTATTCCCCGGGCCCAACGTGGGCGTTGTTCTGCTGATAGTGTCGGCTACAGAGCAGCACTTCTGGAGAGCGATTATTGGAGAACTCGCGAGCTCCCTTCAGAACGTCTCCAAATAACCCGGTCATGGTCACCTTGTTTTGACCGGCTTATTCGCCTGAAAGGAGTTCTCGTAAAATCGCTCTCCTCGGGAGACATACGCCGGGTACCTCACTTCTAAAATGAGCGTACACTGATTGGAGGTCTCGTTGGTAATTGGAACAAATTTTCTGAATTTCTGATGGAAAAGTCCGTTTTTTCGTCGTGTTTTGGGGCAAATATGGCCCATTTTGACCAGAAAATGTGTGATTGCTGAGCTTAACTTGAATTTGAAATTAAACTTTAACTTTAAATGCTCAGCTCTGTCAGGAAGCGCAAGGGGAGACCGCCCGGAAGACGGCGTGAAGTGAGGCGCCTGGCGTGAGATTTGAAATGTGAGGTGGACAGGCATGACAACCAAAATCGCGAAAACATTTTAATTTTAGCGCGCCGCAGGCCAAGGTAGACGCACATTTAGCTCAGCTCCACACGGTTTTAACGTGCGTATACCTTGTTAAACAGTGATTGGAGAAGAAAGCTACCCCTCACATACGCCTGCCTGGTTCCGCACCCTGCACGGCAGGCGCAGAGCGTGCCGCTCGCCCTCTGCTGCGGAGCTTGAGGCTCTTTACCGGCGCGCGGCAGGTGCAAATCGTTACAGTACTCGTGGGGCCGGGTGAGTGAGTGAGTGACGCGGTATTTCGCGGCGATACTCGACTATACTGTATTCCCACCTGTCCGCTGCTGCGTCGGTACGGTACGGTTGCCCCTGGCTGCTGGGGCCTAGGTACGCCAGAGCGATAGGCATGGCTGGCGGCACCTCCGACTTCGCTGGTGCCCGATAACTCAATTAGGAGTCCGTCTGGCAGGGCGGAGCGGGGTGGCTGTCCGGGGCGGTCTAAGACGGTGACAGCAGTACTAGCGGTCAGAGGGCGGGTCGGCGGCAGAGCTCAAAGCCCCCAGGCCGCGCCGCCCGCCCCCACGCGGCCGCGACTCCCGCGCCGGGGTACAAAACGCAGCGTGAGGGGACTCCCCTCAGGGGAGCGCGGCACATGGACGGGTTGCGTTCGTCAGCGCTTCTCAACCCGCTTGTCCAGAGCATTCCACGGGATACCCGGAGACGCCGTTGCTCCGCTCCGTTGTGCTGCATCGCTGGCTGCTGCTTTCAAAGCCTTGCGACGATGGGGGTGTCGGCTTCTCG